TCCCATAACTTCAACGGCCGGGAGTTCCGACCATGCCAAGGAAGGGCAAAGGGAGAAGCCGACCTTCAAAACTGATGTCTGGCACCTAAAGTCCCTTGGTGGTATCTGCTCTTTCATCTTACATCCTTAACATCCCCATTGCAGATGCAGATAGTCTTGTGTGTTTTTTTAACCTTAAATTAACTTTGTAATGTATTTTATAGACAAATATTACAATCTATAAGAATTTTAATTCGATAAGAATCTACAAAAAGTAAGTATTTTTTAAGTGGAGAAACAGTATGAATAGGCAATTCACAGAAGAGGAAAATGGACTATAAACTTTAAAATATATTACAAAAATGCAAATTTTATGAAATAATTGAATATTTTGTATCTATTAGATTGGCAAAACAAATTTTTATAATATATTTGTAAAAGGGTATGGGCTAACAAAAAGTATCATAGGATGCATAAAAATTGGGTCACCCAATCTGGTGGGTACTTTTCTCGGCATCTATTTAACATTTTAGTGCAAGTAAGCATCTCAGTATCTACAACAGAGAACACATAAAATTTTTATTTTTTATCAGAGAAACATCTACCATCCAGAGTTTTCAATCTACCCAACTAAGGGAGTAGAGTTTCAGGGAAATAGCAGAAATGGAGCTTGGGGTAGTTCCTTTGGTTGACTTACAAATCCCCCTTCTTGGCATTCAGTGTGTTCTTGGCATGAAATTTAAGATAAACACGACTTCAAAATAAAGCAGAGCAATGAATTACACTGGAACATGTGTGTTTGCAAGGTCAGCTGGTCTTTAGGGCTCTGTCCTGCACAAAATATGGAAAAGCAAAACCACTCTGTGGCCCCTGGGGCAGGAGAAATGATTTGGGGTGAACTGTCCTTTCTGGTTTGAGAGTCATCTGCAAGCAGGAGTCGTTAGGAACCTGAGCGGTTCTGATTCTGGTTGCCTGAGTCACAGTGCCTACTGAGGTGGCGGACCAGTCTATTTGCCTCCACTGAGCAGGGCAAGCTGCCAGCAGGATGCTAAGTGGCTATTTCAGTGGCGCTGATTGATTCGCAGAGATGGCACAGATGTGACCTCCTCAGTCAAAGTCAGTGTTTTCTTGGTCCTCAAAATTTCAGAGAAATACAAACGCAAATGAAAAATAATGACAAAGCCCACATAGCACCCCAGAGTCATTGCCTCAATGATTATGAATGCCTCCTAGGCTTCCAGCATCCTGCTAGGTGCTGACAGTGACATAAAAATCATCGAAGACATAACTCCTGTTCTCTACGACATTAATAATGATAAAGTAGCAAAAGTTATGTAGCTGTAAAGATCACAGAGTTTAACATTTCTTTTGCCACCTATATTCTGCTTCTTAAACACTAACAGACAAACATAAACATGCCTTGTGCATAATCTTTTTATCTAGAATGCCCTTTTCTTTATCCACCTGGAGAACCTCCGTATATAATACAAAGTCTAGCATGACCGCCGCCTTGATGACATGAAGCCTCAATGGCTGTGCACACACTGCAATCCTCATCACTTTCTCTGTGCTCCCTTTAGACCCCCCATCCCATCCACCATTGCAATTCTAGATGTTATTGTAAGTATCCGTGTGTGTCTGAATCCCCCACTTGGGGGGTGGGGTGGGGGTGGGGGTCCCCTTTGGTTGAGGTTCTTCTAGATTCTGGCTGTCCTTTAGAATCATCTCTGGATATGGTGTGTGTGTGTGTGTGTGTGTGTGTGTGTGTGTGTGTGTGTGTGTGTGTGTTTTAAATTTCAGGCTCCAAACCAGACCCATTGGTTCAGAATTCCCAGGGTATAGACCTGCACATCTTTGTTTTATGTTACTCTCCACGAGTGATGTGGACTTAGAGTCAGGGCTTAGAAGCACTCACTGTGCCCGATGGCTTTTTATAGCTCCAATGCCAGGAACAACACCTAGCACACAGCAGATGCCCAAGTCACGCTTGTGGAGGAATGAATTACTCACATCCACTTTATGTCTTTTTGTAGGTAAATATCTAAATTATACGTGACACCAACTTGCTGGGGTCAACTCGGATGTTTTGTAGGCTTCTCTTAAAGATGTCTGGGTTTCTACAGCTACATTCTCTGGTTGATCTCAGTGCTTTAGCATTCGGATAAAGGCAGTGATCAGATGTGGAAATATTTTTCTTTTGAACAGTAAATGTATGAGGTTTTGTAATACACAAGTTAAAATTTAAAGGTAGAAGGGATTTATTGCCAAAATGTGACAAGGAAGTATAGATTAGTTGTAAAAGGCCTCTCTATATATTCCTACGCATGTCCAAGTTCAGACTAGAAAAAAAAAATCCCAAGAAGTTGTCTATTTTAAGATCTGTGACCAAATTTCTAAATGCTCAATGGAAGTTCACATGTTCAGATAACATACTCAAAATGGAACTTACTATATTCTTCCTACACAGCTCCTCCTCCTTGTTGGAGGTAAGGACTGAAGTGTAGATGTTAGGTGGTATTATATGGTCAAGGATTTAGAATGAGAGAATTTGGCCTTTCCTCTGGCCTCCCTTCCCCAAGGAGAAGAGAAATAGCCACACAAGGAATAATGGTTAAATATGAATCAAAATATCCTATCACTAACATCTGAGTCAGGATCCAATAACCCAGTGAATGTTTCCTGGCTTAGGACATATTATTGGGCTAGAGACTGAAGTGAGCCATCCATTTCTTTACTACTATTTAAATTTAAATCTTGAAAGCTGGACACTCAGTTCTCCCTGTGTTCATTAACATCTGCCTTTATACCCCCATTGTCACTGGCATAACTGAGGTTCCCTGGGAGAAAGGTCTTTTGGCAGGTCAGCCCACAACCATTTCCATTCATTCAGTGTTCTCTTTCCTTAGCCAAACTCTGTAGAGATGGTACAATTTTCATGCTTCCCAGGATAGGATACATTAAGAAATACTGTCAGTTCTTCACTTTTAAACTCAACAATTTTTTCATCTGATTCTTTTGAATAACACAGTCTTGTCTTTTGCATGCAATTCTGAAATAATGGCTCATTCTCAATGCAGATTATTTGGTCAAAAAGATCATAATAACTGTATGGGGCTAGGTGGGTACTTAAAATATCAGTGGGCGGGCCGAAACCGGTTTGGCTCAGTGGATAAAGCGTGGGCCTGCGGACGGAAAGGTCCCGGGTCAAGGGCATGTACCTGGGTTGCGGGCACATCCCCAGTGGGGGACGTGCAGGAGGCAGCTGATCGATGTTTCTCTCTCATCGATGTTTCTGACTGTCTATCTCTCTCCCTTCCTCTCTGTAAAAAATCAATAAAAATATATTTAAAAAAAATATCAGTGGGCGGGTGTGCTCTGTAAAGTACATGATTGGCTAACCACTATGCTGTACATCTGAAACTAATAGAGAGTCATAGTGAATGTAAACTGTATTTGAAAAACATAATAAAAGAAATAGCCAAAAAAATAAAAGTGTTCAAAGATAAAGTATAGATGAGATTTTGGATAAAATACCGTAGATCTAGGTTTCAGCTACTTTCCAACATGCACTTGCTTATCTCTCCTGTTTCAGGTCCTTAAATTCACCCCCTCATGTAGGGCCCTCCAGCCACAAGGTCCTCCCTCCATTCCTCAAACACACCAAGTTCGTTCTCCGGGGTTTCCAGTCATGATCTTGCTTCTCCGAAAACCAGTTTCTTCTTACTGTTCATTTGCTTATCACCTGCCTTTTTGTTCAGCTCTCAACTCAGAAGCTGTTTCTTCAGAGAGGCTCTCTATTGACCTCTCCCAATCTAAATCAGCCTCTTTTCTCTTATGATCAGTTGTTTCTATTTGTATTACAATCTTGGTGGTATTTATTAGTTCAATGCCTGTCTCTCCCACAAAAGGGAAAGAACTCTATGAAAGCAAAGACCATATCAACTTGGTCCACCAATGCTCAGTCCATAGCCTGCCTCAAAAAAATATTTTTGAATGAATGAATAAAAGACATGGGTAAGGCACTTAACCTGTATGAGCCTATGTCCTTATCTGTAGGCTCAAAGTTATCATTAGAGTGAAGCAAGGTGATAAATTGACCAGTTAGACAATAGTCAGTACTCCATAAATATTATTCAAGACCTTATTAACTTTTTGACTAAATTATTTTCCATGTGACTTGAAATAAGTAATCTGCCTCTTTATGTCTCCCCATTTTCTTTTATTAATAGGTCCTACCATATGAAAACTCTCCAAAAGCAGTAAATTTTATAATTTTGCATTTGTCCACGATTTTTATACAGAGAAGTACAATATAATTCAATCGTTTCAGACACAGTACAACATAACTTGTAAGCAAGACGGAGTGAGGGCATTTCTACCCCATTTAGTGGATAGTGATGTTGATAGATAAGGATTCAAAAGAATTGCCTCAAATCATATTACAACTTGGTGGGAAAGTCAAGTTCTCATGAGGTATTGGGCCTCCAGATTCTCTTTATCCTTGACTTGACTCTTCTTATTTTTACTTCTCCAGTTTTGGGAAATTGTTGTGACTCTTTTCTTGCCACAGATTCCTGATCAGACTTCCCTTAGTTCATCTTGACCCCCTCATCCTTAGGCTGTGCTATTGAAGGGCGATGCACTTTTTAAGGCCTGTAGTTACAAACAGTTGTTATTTCAGCCCCAGTTAGGAATGGCCCACACATGTATTCCTGAAATGGAACACAGCTACTGATGATAATCAGTATTGATTAGTGAATCCAAATGCATCTCATTCATGGTGGGTGGAGCTAAATAAAGAAGTATAAAATGTGCATTGTACTGTATCATCAATTTCTCAAACTTCTTCCTTTGGTTCCTTATTTGTTTATGTTCCAGGAACGGCAGAGCATCACGTAGTGACCTGTCAACTCAGGAAGCTGATGGTCTGACTGAACTAGTCCTGGGGCTCTTCACAGAAAAGGCAGCCGGGGTCCTGGTCGGCGGGAGATTCCATCTGAATGGTGAGTGAATGCACAGGAAAGCTATTGCTGAGGGCTTTAGCAATCTCTCTCCGAACGCCCTGGCTGTCCCGGCTGGCTGCTGTTGAAGAGAAATCATGGTGAGCCTGACATTGATTGCACACAAATAGGAACTACTACATCTCCAGCAATGTGCTTGGTGGGGTGGGGCACAGGCCTAGTGCGCAGAAGGAGCCAGGTTGTCTCTGACAATCAGCTACATCTGCACAGACAAGGTGTGTGTGTGTGTGTGTGTGTGTAGAAGCGGGGAAGGATTTTAGGGCAGCAAAGTACCCAGACACTATGGGAGCTCTTCTTCACAATTATCTCTGGGGTCTGGCACTCCTAGGAGCTGAGTATGAAAGTGGAAATGAGCCCTGGAAAAAGCCAAGGCAGACCTGTTATTTCTTATACAGCCTTGCTCACCAGTCCCCAGGGACCTCTGGGTTGCAGCCCTTATATCTAATCAGAACCTATATTAAGGCTGGTGACAGGAGGCAGGGAGCATTTAGAGCTCCCCACAGGCCTTTCTGAGAGCAGCAACCCTCACTCCATCTTTTCTCTTGTCCCCAAAGGTATCAGGAGGCTGTAAAATTCCCTCCACAGTAACATGATTAGTAGGTTCTTGCATTTGCAATAAAATATTAGTGTTGTGGATGCTGTAAATTCCCTGCAGCCAGATCTGCGCCTCTCAGCAAAGATCGGGATGTCTGAGAAAGCGAAGTCCTCAAATGACTGTCACCGATGTTCCTGTACCCTCTGTCTACATAACTTCCTGAGTTATTTTCTAGCAGCCTAATGTGTCTTATTGGCCTGTCTCCCGAGGCAGAGAGACACCTCCCACCACCCAGTTTCTCAGCTCTAGGACATACCCTGGACAAAATCACCTTCTCCTTGAGAAAGTCATTTTTAGAATAAATCCAATTTCCTAAGAATTATCTCACATGGTTATAGAATTTCTAATCATCCAGTAAAAAAAAATATGTATCACCATTAATTTTTACTACCAAGTTTTTTAGGTTGTTAGAACCTTAGGCCCCAGCCAGCGTGGCTCAGTGGTTGAGCATCAACTTAGAAACCAGGAGGACACGGTTCAATTCCCAGTCAGGGCACATGCCCAGGTTGTGGGCTCAATCCCCCATGTGGGGCATGCAGGAGGCAATGAATCAATGATTCTCTCTAATCATTGATGTTTCTCTCTCTCTCTTCCTCTCTGAAATCAGTAAGAATATATTTAAAGAAAAGAAAAAAAGAACCTTAAGCATGGAACCTGTGTATGCTGTATCTTTCTTCGGTGATAGGCAAAGCATCTCATACACAAGAGATACTCAATGAAGATTTATTATTGAAATCATCCCTATTATTTAACCGTTTGAGTTCCAAGCCAAACAAGTGAAGTCTAATTTTCAGAGCCTAAGGACTTCAAATTTGGGTGGCATTTTTACCCACTTTGTCCTACCCTCTTCAGTCAGCCTCTCTAGGAATAGCATCAGTATCATTGTTGCCATGACAACATTGACAAGGGCTATGGTTTTCAAAGGCCCTTGGTAATACAAAGTATTTCACAGCTGTTTAGACAGGTATTGGCCACTAAGGGTAGCTCTACAAAAAGGAGGAAAATTACTGACTTTACAGAACAAGGACTGAATTTTGTCCAGTCTTACTGACCTGCAGCAACATGAGCCGAGAGAATCACCTGGTTCGTTGTCAAAGACCAGATGTGCAAGCTGTGCACAGACACCACCCCATCCACCGCTAAGATGAGCTCTTTCACAGCGTTGTAGTTGAGGTTCTTTGGCACACCTGACACAAGTAAAGAGTGGGAGGTTATTGTTATTCCACTGAATATAGCTCATCTAGATGGCCAATTGGGGCTGTAAGGGGAGGCGGGGGGTGGATCCTTAACCCGCCTTTTTCAGGATTTAAGAGCCTTACTCATTGGGATTTTCTCCTCAGGGATAATTTAAAATTCTCTACAATTTGAGTTTAGTTTAATCCCACTTCATATTATTTCACAGCGATAACAAAGAGTTGGTCAATATGTAATTTTACTTAATTAGCTGCACAAAGCTCAGGATAGCAGAAACAAATTAGTGGGATTTTTTCTCAGATTAGTCATAGAATGTATATACAATCATGGGTGAAGTTGTTGTATTATAGTAATAATAATAATAAAGACATAGCTTTGTTGAGAACCTATAGTAGGTCAAGGTTTATGCTAAGTACTTTATTTATAATGATTGTCTTATTTTCATATTTACAAGAACTTTACGAGCTAGTTTATCAGTGCTACTGTTCCTATTTCACTGGAGGAGAAATTGGGAGACAGAAAGGTTAAAAAGCATTGCTAAGGCCACATAGATAAATGGGATGCGAGGGTCTGCAGTTCCTGCTCTGAGTGTGAGGTGTTATGCAAATGCTAGACTCTAGGGATTGCAGCCCACAGTTGACTGTTATGCCGAGTGTGTCATCTCTGCAGAGTTTCATTTGGCTCTTGAAGACCTGCTGTCATTCATCTAGGACCCTTATGATGAAGTCATGATCCCATTACTTTTGTCTCTCTTGCCTCATTTATCTCTTTACGATCATGAGGAACACAAGCCCAGTATTACTTATTTTGCTCCATGAAATAATGTCAATGAGCACGGGGCTATGCTCCCATGGACCTCCGTGCTCCATCCCATTCTAGGGACCATTTTTCCCCTGACGGAGAGCCTGCAAGAATATTAATGCATCCAAGAAAGTACTCAAATAAGTGTTTAAAAAATAATTTCCCAGATTAATAAATAAATGAAAAAATCACTCAATTATAGAATTGCATATTAAGTAAATAAGATAAAATATTCCACCAATCATATTAGGAAGGAAGAGAATCAGCAGTTTGATAATACCCCATGTTGGTGAACATGTGAGGAAATGGGCACTGTTAATGTTTTATTGGCCAAAAAGATGTTGAAATAGTTTTTTGGCAGAAATGACCATATCTGTCAAATTTTAAAATGCACAGAACTTTTGAAATGGAAATAACATTTCTAGGAATTATTCCAAAGGTGTACAAATGCTAAAAATATATATATGCGCATGAATGTTAATTATACCGTTGTTTGCAATGGCCATCAATAAGCAAGTACATGCATACAGTGGAATAGTTTATAGCTATGTAAAAAAAATAGGGTGTTTCTATATATGTATTTAAATGGAAAGATATCCAAGTGAAAAAAACAAGTGCAGAGCAAAATAAGTACAAATCCAGAATCCTATTTGTTTAAAAAATACATACATACATTCTATGTGTATATATACATTCTATGTGTATATATACATTATATGTATATATAAATATTTATATGTATATATTATATATAATGTGGTATACATTATATGTGTATGTATGTAAATATTAATATGTATATATATATTATACATATATATATATATAGTTATCTTTTGAAAGATGTATGTCAACTTATAAGTAGATGTTACCCCTGAAGAATGGGACTGAGAATTCAAAGTAGGAAAAAAGGGGAGACCTTTAAAATTCATTTTCTACTTTTGCATATTATTTTAAAATGTTACCAAAGATAAGTATTCTTTTATGCTATTCTAATTTGAAAATCTATTTTAGAAATTAAGCATCTACCAGATAGGAGTTATCTGGCAGTTTCCATAATTAACTGTCCTTTCTTTAAATAAATAAGGAAGATAACCACCAGAGCAGATCTACACTGAGAGACAGGGAAAGTGGAATATAGTCATCTCCACCAATAGTGCGCCCATCTGCCTTTTATCGCCCTGGTAGTCAGTAAGTGCCATCCTAGCGACAACAGCTGCAGCTCAGCACTTGGCCCTCAGGAGAGGAAATGGGTGCATTTGTGACTTGACAGATCAAATATTGTCACCTCCAGAGTGAGGAAGTTTGCTTGTTACTCAGTTACATTTGACTCCATTTGGTTTCACTGTTGTCAACATTATCATCTGCCAACAATGATACTGCCCACTGAGAACAGAAACCTTAAATGCAGCCATGGCAGTGAACACTAAAACTGCGAACTGCTTTGAAGGCAACTGTCCTCTGAGACTGTGTCTCCCTTATTTCAAAATGTGCTAGACAAAAAAGAAAAGTTCATCCAATATCCGGATATTTATGATCATCCAAATGTTTGATATGATGCAAACCTCTGGCTCTGATAGAATTTTCTGGAAGCCATTCCCCGCACCCTCCTATAGGAATCTCTAAGTGCTATGAAAAGACTCATTCAGTGGTTCTCAAAGTGTGGTCCCCAGAGCAGCAGCAGCATGTTGTTAGAACTTCAGATTCTTGGGCCCCACCCCAGACCTATGTCTCAGGAAGGGTGTGGGTGGGCCCAGCCATCTGTGTTGTTTTAACAAACCCTCCAACCAATTCCGATGCCACTAATGTTGGAGAACTGCTGGCCTAGTCTAATTAGGGTAGGCAAGCAGCTCTTCTGAATAGCTACAATGCTGCTAAGGGTAGGTTTATACTGTCTTTCTTGGGTCTTGTCCATACACTTAGGGATAAACTAATATCTTCACAATAACTTCCTCATGTCTATCTTTAGTGTGTGTGCATATTGTTTTTATACTGAACCATAACATTTAACAGTTACTGGAGGAAAAATAGAAACCAATACTTTTTAGTTGTTCCATAGGAAAGAAAATCATAATATTTGTTTTCCCCCAAGAAGAGAAAACATGGATCTTGGGAATAAAATAAAATCACTCCTACCTTCCATGAGTAAGATGGAGAAGTCCTTTAAGACTGTGACGGTACTGGCCAACACCAGGACAGAAAACACAAATGTGCAGATTGAGTCGGCCATTTTATAGTCTGGCTGGAAAATATAAGGGCTTTAGGTTAACTGAATGTGTGTCTCCTTTGAAGAAAGTCTGATGAATAAAATATGTAAACCTCCCTGTTTCCTTCCCTCTCTATCACCCTTTCACCCCCCACTTAACATCCAACATGACACCTGATATCCAATTCAGAGGCAACTTTCTGAAGACTCAATCTTTCTCTTAAGCCAAGGGTGGGAACCTTTTTTTTCTCCCAAGGGCTATTTGGATATTTATAACATCATTGGCGGGCCATACAGAATTATCAACTTAAAAATTAGCCTGCTATATTTGGTCAAACATTTAGTTAACTCACCCCTAATGCCTTGGCAGGGCTGAACCAAATGATTTCTCAGGCCTTATATAGCCCTCAAGCCAGGCATTCCCCACCCCTGTGTTAAGCTTGAAACTACCAGTGACAGAAGAAGAGAG